TTCATGCATTGAGGATCATGTAGGCCGATTCAATGACTGTTGTGAATAGTGATTCAGTAACGATGGATGTGCGAGTACTCTACTGTATGCTGACTTTGACTCCTTTGGGTATATACATAGGAGAATAGCCAGACCATGTATAGTAGCCCTGTTTTTAGCTTTTTGAAGAAGTTCTATACTGATTTCTACACTGGATGAACCAATTTACATTATCACCAACAGTTTGTAAGAGTTCCATTTTCTCTTGCATCTTTGCCAGCATCTGTTGTTTTCTTGATGATTGCCATTCTGACTGGGTGAGGTGGGGAATAGAATCTTGTGTATTTTTAATTTGTATTTCCTTGATTGCTATGGATATTGAATATTTCTTTATTAGTCATTTGTACATCTTCTGAGAACTGTCTATTCAGTTCATCTGTTCCACTTGTTGATTGGATCATCTATTTGGTGCTTTTTCTTTTTTTTTCTTTTTTTTCTCTTTCTTTTTTCTTTTTATGTATTCTGGATATGAATCCCTTATCTGGTGAATACTCATCAAAGATTCTCTGCCTGTAGGTTCTCTTCATTTTGGTAATTGATTGCCTTAATGTGCATAAGCTTTTTTGTTTGCTGTAATTTCATGTGTCAGGTTCTTGCTTTTATTTCCTGAGCTAATTGGACATCTATATAGAAAGTGGTTGCTTATGTATATATCTTCAACTATTTTCCTTATGTTTTCCTCTAGTTATTTCAAAGTTTCAAGTATTATGTTGTGGTCTTTGACTCATTCGGAATTGATTTTTGTATAAGTCAAGTGATAGAGATCTAATTTCCGTCTTGTATGTGTATGAAATCCAGTTTTTCTAACATCATTTGTTGAAGAGGCTAGCTTTTCTCTAGAGCATGTGTCTGGTACAGTTCTCAAAATGTTGACAGCATTCTTCCTCCTCCTTTTAAAAATTTATTATTTTAAATTTGATTTTATTGTAAAGGTGATGTACAGAAGGGTTATAGTTTAATAAGTAAGGTAGTGAGTATATTTCTTGTTGAACAGTGTTACCCCCCTCCCTCATTTTTCTCCCACTTTTTCTCCTACTTTCCTTCCCCACCCCCAGCTACCTCCCTCAGTTGTCAAGTTCATTTCCAACATAATGTCTTGTATCACATTGCTAAGTGCATTGGCTCACGCTTTGTCCTTTGTCTCACCATTTTTTTTTTTGTCAGTCATGGGGCCTGAACTCAGCCTAGGTGCTGTCCCTAAGCTCTTCAGCTCAAAGCTGCCACTCTACCACTTGAGCCACAGTGCCACTTCTGGCTTTTTCTGCATATGTGGTACTGAGGAATCGAACCCAGGGCCTCATGCATACAAGGCAAGCGCTCTACCACTGAGCCACCTTCCCAGCCCTGTCTCACCATTTTGTTGTTTCCCTTCCCTTCCCCAATTCAGATAAACATACATATAATACCAAGTGGGCCAGAATCAAACACAGTAGTAATAGGGGCTAAACCAAAGGTGGAAAAAAACCCACAAAAGATAAAGAAGTAACTTCCCACAGTACATTAAAAACAACAAAGAAAAATCTCTTGTTTCCACATCTTGGAGTTCATTTCGCTTAGCATCGTCTTATATGGCCATATGTACATAGCTATTGAGCTATTGTGATCCTCTTCTAGGACTATCTTAGATATATACTAATTATTACAAATGAGGGAAACCATGGAGCCTATGTTTCTTTGGGTCTGGCTTACTTCACTTAATATGATTTTTTCCATTTCCTTACGAATGGGGTGATGGATTTCTTTCTGATGGAAGCATAAAATTCCATTGTGTATATATACCACATTTTCTTGATCCATTCATCTACTATGGGGTGTCTGGGTTGGTTCCATATCTTAGCTATGGTGAATAATGCTGCCATCAACATATTTGTTCTAAGGGCCATGCCTCCCCCATTTTGCTTCTAGCCACTGACTGAGCACAACAGGGACACCAAAAGGCGTCTCTTTTCTGAATCTGCCAGTAAGTAGCATTGTCCAACTTTGGCTAGGCCATCATGCATGACAGTCTACCATGTATCCACTCAGCCAGCCCTCCTTTCTTCCCTGCCTCCTTCCCCTAGGGTTAGACCTTTGTCATCTACTGGGAGCTCTTTAGCCTCCTCAACCTCCCTCCTTGTCTTCTCTCTCAGACCTCTCCATACATTGCTTCTGTTTCTAAGCTTTTCTTGGTGTCTGTTTCTCAGACTGGCATAGCTATCTTCTTTTTTAAGCTATCTTTCCGCATCATCCAGGGAATTATCTCTTGGTTTGGTAGAACCCTGGTTTCTGAATCCCAGCTCATCTTTCTTGTTCATTCTGTCTTTTTGGGTGGAATTCATCCTCCACATGGGAGGTAAATAGTTGAAAACTTGTATGACCGAAAACTATTTTAATCTCGCCCTGGAGGCATGATTTGGCTGGGTATGGAATTCTAGTTTGGAAATCATTTTCCCTCACAATTTTAAACACATTCTCTGTTGCCTCATTGTTTTAGTAAATGTTGAAAAATATACGCTACTTTTCATATCACATGTTTTGCCTGTGATCTGATTTTATCTCTAGTAGCTTTGATAATCTCTCAGTCCTCAACACTGAAGTTTCCTGGTGCTATACCTTATATCTGTTCTTTCTTTATGTTGGCTTTGTGCTTCCTCAGTTTGGCAGCACCACCTCTGTTCTGGGAAGACACTTAGATTTGATACTTTTCCTGTTTCTTCCGTTTGCTCCTTCTGAATTGACATTGTTAGCTCACCTCTTATATTGAGCCATTAATTTTGTGATTGTTTTTCTCTTTTTTGGGGGGGTACGACATTAATTTAGCTTCTATTACACTAAGCAATTTTTATTGGTGTGTTTTTAAATTTCTAAGACCTTTTTATTCCTTGGTCTTTAAAAGGTAGATTCTATTCTTGTTTCATGGATACAATATATCAGGTCACTGAGGATATTAATAATACTTGTTCTCTCTCTTTTTGTGTCCCTCCCTCCTTGTTTTCCCTCCCTCCATCCCTTTCCTCTCTTTCTCCAGTGCTGAGGATTGAACTTGATGCTAGGCAAGCAATCTACCACTTGGCTACAGTCCCAGCCCATTTACCATGTCTCTGCATTGTATTGTTTTTCTCTTGTCCTTAATTTACCTTTGACTTGTTTTGTTTACCATTGCTCCTAAGCACACAAAATTTACTGTTGACATTGCCTATAGAGGCCATATGGATTAAGTTGGTGGGGAAATCAGTGATGGTTACTGTTCATTAGGCATATACTATACACTGTGGCTTTGAAGAACAAGAGCAAAAGAAGGCTTTAAAGGATCTTCTTTAGGAACGTTAACAAAAATTCTGCAAGTGAGGTCTGATATGAGACATGAAGGAGCTTTGGTGACCTGCATTGAAGACTGAGCATAGAACCATATCCTCAGCACCACAATGATCACAGCCAAAGCAAAATTTGCTTGTGATTGAAAGCAAAGACTGGAGCCTACGGTGGCACTGAATTTATTTCTTCTAGTAGTTTAGTGTAATTAGTGAGTCCCTAGGTGCTGGTATGAGGCAGATGAAGAATTTATTAGAAACTAGATAAGCTGATTGGGAGAAGTGTGTGCGTGCGCATGTGCGCGTGCGTGTGTGTGAGATTGCTTGTAGAGCAAATCTTCAATGCAGTCTTCAATGAAACCACCTCTTTTGAAAACAGCTGAAAGGACTGTCTTCTATAAGGAGGCCAAGTCAGTGCTGGGCTTTAAGACTTTGGACAGGATAACAAACTTGGTTGGGGCATCATCCCAGGCTGTGAAAGGATCTGCCACAGTGAAAGAGCCCAGAGCTCTCAAGCATAGCACTTAGTATACACCAGTGTCCTGTAGGATCAGTGAGCATGAGGCTTGACCCAGCTCCTCCCTCAAGATGACTTCCTGGACAGCCACCCCAGCAAAATGGAGAAGTACTGTTTGAAGAACGACAGACCTTTCAAGATTATTGCTGTTCATGTGATCCAGTCCGTGGTTTCCTTTTATCATGGTCCTTTGAGGTTGTAAATTATTTTAGAAAGTGAACTGGGGCTTGAACTTATGGCCTGGGCATTGCCCATTAGGTTTTTCATTCCAGGCTGGTGCTCTACCACTTAAGCCCCAGCTTCAATTCTGGCTTTTTAGTGGTTAATTGGAAATAAGATTCTCACAGACTTGCCTGCCCGGTTTATGATCTTCAGATCTCAGCCTCCTGAGTAGCTAGGATTACAGGTATGAGCTGCCAGCATCCAGCTAATAGCATTTTTAACAATGACTTTTTTATATTAATTGGGTTTGAACTAAGATTCACCCTCTAGCTAGGAAGGTACTGTTTTTTTTTTAATGCCATTTTATTTTTTTTAGGTAGGCACTTTTTGAGCCACGCCCCCATCCTTTTGTAGCTTCGGTTATTTTTCAGATAGAGCCTTATGTTCTTAAATATGTTCAGTCTTGGACTGCAATTTTCCTGCCTATACCTCATGTATAGCTGGGATTACAAATGTGTGCTACTATACTCAGATTCACATTTTGTATTTTTGAACATAGAAAGTTGAGAAATAGATGATGCTTTTGTCAGTTGTAAGAGCAGTATTCACTGTTATTTTCTGCACTGGCTACTTTTGATGTATAAACAATCTATATGAGTGTGTTATTTATAAAATTATATTTTGACCTATACAAAATGTGTCACCTGTTTGTCAAGACTACTGAGATATGTGCTTTCTAATGTTGTATAAATTACATAGGTTTTTGTACACACCAAGACTTGATGTGTCTGTTCTTCTTTTGTCTAAATTAAGTGATTAGCAATTGTGAAAGTAAACCAGGTAAAGTTGCCCATAACTGGTAATGGCTGTTAACATATTGTCATTTTCTCAGTGAGCAAAGTGTTACTTATAACTTAATTTCAGATAGGTTCACCACTGTAAGTTCTATTCACTGGATGAAAGCATAATCCCATGTATTTTTTTCTTGTCAGCAACTTGAATTGGTGGAACCAAGTGGCTGGATTCATGTTCCCCTAACTGACAATCTTAAGAAGCCAACTCGAACATTCATGATACAGATTGCTGTCCTAGCCAATCACCAAAATGGAAGAGACACCCACATGAGACAGATTAAAATATACACACCAGTGGAAGAAAGTTCAATTGGTAAATTTCCTAGGTGCACAACTATTGATTTCATGATGTATCGTTCAATAAGGTGACTGTGAAAAAGAAGAAATGAGAGTAAGCAGGTCTTTGTTTTATCCTTACTTTACATATCGTATCAAATAACTTTGTGGGAAAAAGGTATCAGTTATTTTGTAGTTTTGTATACATTTAAGAGTATTTGAATTTGAATAAATAACTTTTGTATGAATGGTTTCTGTTTTCTTTCACATCTAAGAAAGCTCACATCTTTTACTTAATCATTATATTTTCTCTTATATTGAAGGGAAACTAGTAGAACATCTTGAAAGTTTCAAGATGTACACATGTTTTCATCAGGCACGTTGTTGAATACTTAGGAGCAAAACTACGTTCCACCAATGTATATCATCTTTAATATGACACGGTTAATTTTCTTTACATATTAGAATTTTACTTTTTAATTACTGTATCTTTTTTCTTTTTTTAATATCAGAATGGACTTATTATTAGATGTCTGATAAAAACCAATGTGGCCAAGAGTGGTGGGGCACTCCTGTAACACAGCACTTGGAAGGGTGTGGCAGGAAGAGCACAAATTCCAGGCCAACCTGAACTACATAATAACACTGTTTCAAAGAAAGTAAATTTGAAAAGTAAGGAGATAATTCAAGAGATGCAAAGGATACGCAGGTTGTCTCACATTTACTTCCATCAAATACTTAAAACCCCAGTGTTGTTTATATCCCAATGTTATGTAGAAGATTGCCATGATAACTTACTGCTATTTCTAGCAATAACTTCTGATAATATACTTAATAGTAGACTTTCAAATTTGCATGTAATGTTGGAGCATTCCCCGAGGTTAATATGTCCTGTGAAAACATAAGAAATTAGTCTTACTAAGAATGTGTTTAAAATGAATACTAGATTCCATATACTTGTTTTTGCACTGTATCTATGGGGCGGGGCAGGGGGTGTAGTTTTTATGCTATGTTTATAGTGTACCTGCATTTTGACCATGACTTGTGATGTGAAATCAGATGTGGAATTGTCTGCTTGTGAGGTCATGTTAGCACTCAAGAGGTTCAGGTTTTGGAGTTTTTTGGATTTTGGATTTTTGGAATAGAGTTGGTCAATCTATACTTCAAAAGATTCTGGAAACAACCCAAATCCGATCAACAGGAAAATGTAGAGAAATTGTGATATGCTATATAATGAAATATTATTCAGTATTAAACATGAATGAACTATTTACATATGAAATAACATTGGTAAACCTCTAAAGGGAAAGAAGCTGAACTGAACATGATAGCTCATAGGCATAGTACTATCTATTCAAGAGGCAGCAATCAGATCATGAATAGAGGCCAGCCTTGGCAAAAGTTCGTGAGACTCCATCTCAACCAATTAAAAAAGGAGCTGAGAGTGGTGGAGCGTGCCTGTCATCGCATAAACATGTGAAGCGTTAACAGGAATACTGTTTTTCAGGCTGTTTTGGTCATAAACTCAAGTCTCTGAAAAGTAATTCAAAGGAGCTTGGCTCAGGTGGTAGAGTGACCCCCTAGGAAGCACAAAGTACTGAGTTCAAACCCCAATACCTCTAGGAGAGAGAGAAAAAGAGAGAGCTGGAGAGCAAGAGAGCTGTACAAAAGAGAACATATAAATGATAGGAAATGCAAACATCTAAAGTAACAGGAAGTATGGAAGTTGTTCTGTAGGACAGGGAAGGCAAGTAAGACAATATTCATATTTTGTGTGTAAAACTGGTTATACAAGTATGTTCTTATGTCCAAATTCTTCAAATTACATACTTGAAATTTGTGCATTTACTGCATGTGAATAATATCTCAATAAAAATAGTAAAAATCACTTACTCTGTTTCAATAGGAATCACCTAAAAGATGCTAGTATTGGAATAATCGTGTGTGTGTGTGTGTGTGTGTGTGTGTGTGTGTGTGTGTGTGTGTGTGTGTGTGTGTGTGTGTGTGTGTGTGTGTGTGTGGTGTCTATCATGGGGTTTTAACTTGGGGCCTGGGTGTCTGCTCAAAGCTAGCTCTCTACCACTTTAAGCCACAGTCCCTACTTCTGGTTTTCTGGTGGTTTAATGGGAGGTTAGCATCTCTTGGACTTTCCTGCCTGGGTTGGCTTTGCACTGCAATCCTCAGATCTCAGCCTCTTGAGTAACTAGGATTACAGGCATGAGCTACTGGCACCTAGCTTAAGAATATCTTCAGTAGATACAGCTTCTATAGAAAACTGAGATTGGAAAAGCCATATTCTAACAGTTATAGCAGTGGCAGAAAATCCACTGATTCATTTGTAATTAAATACTTTTAGTATTGGATGAAATATGATTACAGGATTAATATAATCTCATATGTAACTAAGGTATGACACTTTGAAAATCATTTAAGGAAATATTTTCACAAAAAACTATAAAAGTTGCAGAGTTTCACATATGTCACAAAATATTAATAAGTGCACAACTCTAAAAGGAATTAAGTCATTCCACTGTAAGATTTTGGGTGTTGAATTAGACATAAGGAAACCAAGAGAAGTCTAATGCTGTCTGACTGTTTATAGTCTGTTAGGGAACTATTAAGCCTAACCAGCCAAATCAGAAACTAGCAGGTGGTAAGATCTGATTGGTGCATGAGCTGTAAAACAGAAAGTGGAGTTTACATTCTGTTCAGGAAATGAGGTGAAGCTGAGGAAGACATTTCAGAGGAGGTAGACTTTTGGAAAGAAACATGATTTGTAATAGTAGCTAGATTTACACTTTTAATCCCATTCTTGAATCTAGACTAGCCTTTTTTTTGTACTGGCATCAGCAATTAATTGGAAACAGGTGATTTTTGCATTCAGAACCAAGTGATGTTTTATACATTTGCTAGAAGTGTCCAATCTTGAAAAGTAATTTAGATACTATGCCTCCCTAATACAGAATTATGCACACAGACATGTTTTGTTTGATAAGTTATGCACCTAGTGTTTCAGAAAGTTATTGCTGCCTAACATATTCCTAACTTAAGTAATATTTTAATTATTTTTAGTTGAATTGTCAGTTATTTGTTTTAATTGATCAATTAGCCTTTAAAATAATTTTCAAAGTGCATCAATGTTTTAGGAAATATAGTTGATGTAGCTATGGTTGTATTGGACATTGTTACTTTGTAGATCTTGTAGACCAAGGTCTATCTGCATTGTTTTGGCTGTCCTGACATCTGACTCTCTGGAATGACTTTGGGAATTTTTTGCTGTGTAAGGCTTCAAGAAAACTGCATTTCATGATCTGCCATGTAGCTGGATCTATGTTCAGTTTTATCCAGAAAGCCCTGGGCAGAGGAAGATAGGAAAGAGTTTATAACAGGGGATTAGTTTATTGTCTATGGTAATATTTTGTTCTAACAGGAGAAATCTTTAGCCTAATTTAATTGGAAAACTTAACGTTATATTTCTAAGACAATACTTGCCATTCATGATGACTTTGTATTTATATAAGTCAGTGTTATTTTTAATACTATTAACCAGTCTATTTTTCAGTTTTGTGTAAAAGCACCCTTGCCGTACTCCACAACTGTCTTTATGATCTTGCTTTGTCTTCTGCCTGTTCTGGTGACTAGAACCAGCTTGTTATTTTGCAAAGCAGCAAACTTAAATGTCTTAACTTAGAATTATTCTACCTGTAAGTAGCCTTTCTGAGCCAACTGTTATTCCAGGAAATGCTATTGAGCACTATTATAATGGAATTTCTAGCATTTACTTAGTCAACATTACTGTGAGGGTGACCATTGCTTTCTACTCATTAGCTTTCAGTCTACCCCATAAGATACCCTTTTTTATGATGTTCACTTTTCCAGTGTTGAAAAGCAAATTACTGTTCCCTCCCTGTGGTCCTAGGAATAATTATGCAAACTGTTTTTTAATAGACTGTTCTCAGAGTAGCTCTCCTCTTTACACTGGCACTCACTGGTAGCAGTAGATCCAGATTTTAACAGATCATTTCCTGTTATTATAGCAGTATCAAAATACTGATCACTTACCAAGAATGAAATATCCAAAAGACTGAAGCAGAGAGTTCAGCCAGCTGTTTGTTTTTCAACTGTGAAAATTTGTAAGAATCACATGTTAAATGGACTTGAAGATGAAATGAGAGTAGTCTTGGTAAAAGAGGATAATAAACCATTCAGGGAGTAAGTTGTAAGGGAGTCAAGTGTTTATACGAAGGACAGCAGGGACTTCAGATTATTTAAAAAGTAGTGCCTATTTTGTAGGGTGGCACTCAGGCATGAACAGATTCCAGTCATCTATTCTTCAGACATTTTCTTTGTCTTCTTTTCCTTAGCCACCAGCCAGCTTAGTACAAAATTCATCTCTTTCTTGAAATTTTCAGTTATGAGGTAATTGGATGTTATCTTTTATTTTTTTTTCTATATTCAGTAAGCCTGAGTCCTGCAGATTCTTTCTTCACATGATCACTTTTAGTGATAACTTGTTCTCTTAGCAATAAATTGTTTCAACCTTCTATGTCAACTGTAGGAAGCTCCCAGCTAGGCCATTCATTAGTTTTAACTTATGTTAAAAAATATGTTAAAATAAATACAGTAACTCCACATTTATCTATATAAATAAACCAAAGTCCTCTAGTGTCCCTTTAAGAAGGCTCTGCTTCCCTCTTCCCTGACCCTTTTCTAACTGTTTAAAAATTATTGTCAGACTGTTCTAGCCAAGCAAATAAATAAATGCACTAGTCTGTGTTAAGCATATCGCTCCCTTGTTCACACTTGTACTATTTTAATATGTAACATCGAACAGCCTGTAATGTTGTCTCTCTTTTACCAATTTATATTACTTAGAAGCCAGTCCTAACAAGGCTTTACTTGTCTGATTTTGAGGCTGTATATTTTTGTTTTGATCTGAGATCAGGACTCAGATTCAGTACCTGATGCTTTCGCTCATTGGCTAGCATTCTACCAACTGAACCATACCTCCAACTTTAGTTCATTCTTTTATTCAATATTTGTATATGACAGTACTCTATTAATTGATGAACATTTCCCTATGTACAATACTAACTCCTGAAGGCAAGGAAGCAGCCCTATTTATCTTTTATGTCTGTTTTCTTACAATTCTCAGCATCTCATAGGTATGTTGTATATACTTATTGCTGATAAAAATGAGTACTTAAAAATATTTCACATCTTTTATTTCATTCTTACAATGTTGCTG